GAAACCCAAGCTTTGATCACGTCTGATCCCCTGCTTTTACAGATGATTATAGGAACCAGAACTTATTTATCCAAATTTCATAGAGCAAGTTGAGGGAAACTCGGGTTCCTGTGAGCTTTTTACTCCACGTGTCCTGAGTGACCCCTAAGGTCCCTTCTATCTCTAACTTATAAAGGCATACTTGATGTGGGGGAAGCTTAGAGTATGCAGTGGTGAGGTATTAGGGGGGCGGAAAGACTAAGTACTGTAACTGGCCCAAGTCCTTCCTTGCCATCCAAAAAAAGAGAAATGCCTCCTGTAACTGTTTTCTGTCCGATTAAATGCCATCTTCCCCTCTCTCCACTATAGGCTGCCCACCCTCCTACCTCAAACAAATTGGGAAAGGAAGATGGGAGGCCTGCATCCCTCCCACCTTTAATATAATTTATCTGAATAAATAACCCTAATTAGGTCCCTGAGTAAAAGGTTTGACTGAAAGCCCTGGAAGGGTGGGAGGGCAGGTCAGAAGGAAAGATGGCTGTTGGCGATGGTGACTTTGGCAGACCAGCAAGCTTGACTGGGGAAGAAAGGTGTCTCTGTATCCGTTTCTCTCACCGTGACCATAACCCTTATGTGGAGAGGAAGGAAGGAACTGATGAATGCGGTGAATGTGGGGTGGGGGGGAGTCAGGGGGGAATCTGCAGCCTCTGGAACTCCAGGAATCTGACCACCAGAACCAGCCAGTGTCAACTCTTTGTTTCCCCGGAGCTGGGCTCTATTGGGGGAGCTCAAGCCTTGCCCCTCCCCCCCCAGGTCTTTTCTTTTTGGAGGGGATGGAGAGAGGGGCGGGGCCCAGGCCCCGCTTTGTGTGTGGCTGGGGGTGGGGTGGGGTGATAGCAAGAATTTCAGGCTCCTTTCCGATCAGGCCCTGTGAGGCAGGCTCCGTGGGGCTGCACGCCGATTACCTACCTGATAAGAGAGGAATTCAAACTATGTGTTTTAGAAAGGGGCGGGGTAGGCCCCCCACCCCCACCCCCGGGAGCCACCCTTGGAGACCACCAGTCTAAATCTTGACCGGTTATGGTGAGGTGCCTGCAGGGTTGGGGGTTTTTCGGTTTTGTTTTTGTTTTTTTTCACCCTTTTAAAGTCTTAAGCAGACCTCAAATCCTCCAGTGATGGAGTGGGTGAGCTGAGAGGGCTGGTCAATTTCATATGTCCCCATTTATATTATCCTCTTGTTCTCATAGTAAGCCTAGGAGGTGTGGATGGAGGAGAGTGTTGTCCTCAGTAAACTGGAGCTCAGAGAGGGGATGTTTTTCTGAGTTTCCACTGCCAGTTAGTGATAAAAACTAGAGTTAAAATTCCCAGTCTCTTGACACTTCTTTCTCACTGTTACCCTGCCCTCATCCAGTCTGAAGAGGTTGATGATAATTGCCACTCAGGATTTATGTGTGGCAGGCTATGTGTTAACTACTTTTCATGCATAAACCCTCACAGCACCACCATAAAATTATTATTTACTCCATTTTGTAGGGTAGCACAGAAAGCGGGGACAGGCTGTCAGATTCTAAACCCTGGCTCTTAGTCACTTATCTATCTGCTGAATCACAGCAAGGACTGGGAGTGTTCCAGCCTAAGAGCCCACTAGGCAAATGGGAAAAGCTGGGTTTGCCTGGGTCAAGAATGCTCTTGGTCTGGCTCCTCCAGCACCTCCTGACTCACTGGCTTGTCCCAGCTCAATAAGAGACAAGTCAGATTTAACATCAAATTCAGTGTGGTTGTTACACAACGGGGAGGGGGAAAGAGATTTCACCTTTCTGAAATGTTTTTATTTTCTGCTTTAATGCTCCACATCAAGATTGGTGGGGGGAGTCATCACAATTCTGGCTGTTCCTGTGGGAAAAAGAAGAAAGGATCCCCAACCTTTGGAATATTTCATTGATATTTATTGAGCATATATTCTTCATGTTTCCCTGCCCGCGTAATCTTCATTAAAATCTTAGGGGGCTTCCCTGGTGGCGCAGTGGTTGAGAGTCCGCCTGCCGATGCAGGGGACACGGGTTCGTGCCCTGGTCCGGGAAGATCCCACATGCCACGGAGCGGCTGGGCCCGTGAGCCATGGCCGCTGAGACTGCGCGTCCAGGCTCCGCAACGGGAGAGGCCACAACAGTGAGAGGCCTGCGTACCGCAAAAGAAAAACAAACAAAAAACAAAAATCTTAGGTAGGGATTTCCCTGGTGGCGCAGTGGATGGGACTCTGCGCTCCCAGTGCAGTGGGACCAGCTACGATCCCTGGTCTCAGAACTAGATCCCACATGCATGCTGCAACTGAGATTCGCATGCCACAGCTAAGGAACCCTGGAGCCGTAGCTAAGGGGGCCCGCCTGCTGCGACTGGAGAGCCCACGCGGTGCTGCAACTGGGAAGCCGGCGGGCCACAACTGAGGAGCCCGCCTGCCACAACTAGGACCCAGTGCAACCAAAAAAAACAAAAAAAAACCCCTAAGGTAGGTTTTTATCCTGTTCTCTGAGGCCCAGAGGTGAGTGACTGACCAAGGTCACACATGATGCTGGAAATTGGTAGAAACAGCATTTCATGAACCAGGTTGTGTCTGGCACCTGAGCCTATGCTCTTAACCAATTACCTCAACGGAAGTTTTGTCTTAAGCAGTACCATCTAAATTAAAACAAAAATGTAAATGACTGAAGAATTGGGGATCGCATCTGGCAAAAGAGCATGTTTCACCTAAGTCCCAGTTTGAAATATCCACCCTGCCCCATCACTACCACCAGCAGCATGACATGCCTCAAGCCAGGACTGGGTGCACGATGATCCCTTTTGCTTCTGAACCGCATTTTCAATGAGGACTGCACCTTGTTGACGTATTTGACGTGCTCTTTGGATGTTTTGGAAGCTATCTATAATGAAGCCTATTCTGGGCAGGGTCTGGGAGAGGCTGTCACTCCACTGATGTGTTGTTGACGCAGTAAGTGGCAAGGTGAAATGGACTGTGAGCTTCAAATCGGAAACCCTGGGTTCTTCTGACCCTGGTTTTGCCATTCAACTAGCTGTGTGAATAACTCCTTTTTTTTTGGTTCAAACATGCAGTGTTTTGGTGAGATCGTTCCACACATTCGAAGTCCTTTCCTTTAACAATTTGCTCATCTTCCCAAGTAAAATAATTAAAACCTACCTCCTTGTTCATTCATCCAAAATGTGCTAGGCATTATTTAGGTGTCAAAATGCAGCAGTGAACAAAACAGGGACTTTATTTACAAGTTTACATTCTTTTTAATGGCTTCATGGTATTTTTGTTTTCTGTTGTTTTTTTTTTGAACGAGTGAGATACTGAACATATGTGTCATGCTAAATCCTTCCGCAAATTACCTGCTTATATTCTGTTCTGTGATTCTTTTTATTCTTTTTTTATTCTTTTTTTTTGCGGTACGCGGGCCTCTCGCTGTTGTGGCCTCTCCCGTTCCGGAGCACAGGCTCCAGACGCGCAGCCTCAGCGGCCATGGCTCACGGGCCCAGCCGCTCCGCGGCATGTGAGATCTTCCTGGACCGGGGCAGGAACCCGTGTCCCCTGCATCGGCAAGCGGACTCTCAACCACTGCGCCGCCAGGGAAGCCCTGTGATTCTTTTTTCTTACTGACTTACAGTAGCTTTTTGTAGTTTTATCAGTTTAGTTATCTGTCTTGATTTTTAAAAAAACTGTCTCAAAGTTTTTTCCTCTTAACACTGAGATATTTAATTCTTCCGAAATATGTTTTGCATACGTATGATGCGAAGTGTAGAGTTCTGGCTTCATTTTCAAATGGATAACTGTTTTCTCAATAGTATTTATGGAATTGTTTTCCTCACCTGTTGATTTCTCCACTTAATCTTGGATCTCCCAGTAGACTTTCCCTTCTAATCCACTGATCTGTCTGCTTGGGTCATACTGCCTTTTCCCTTCAACTTTCAGAAACATTGTTTTGATATAATTTCAAACTTGGGAAAAGGTTGCAAGAATAATACTAAAAACTCCCATATAACCTTTACCCAGATTTATCGGTCCTTAATATTTTGTCCCATTTGCTTTTTTATTCTTTTTCTTTGTACAGATAGACAGATATCAAGCATCTTTAAATATTTCAGTGTTTTTTCTAAAATAGGGCCATTCTCTTACCTAATCTCAGTACAATGGTCAAAATTAGGGAACTTAACATTGAAACATTTATCTACCATATGCAAATTTTGTCAGTTGTTCTAATATTTTTTCTTGTTCTAAGATCCAATCCAGAGTCATGTGTTGCATTCAGTTTCTTTACTTCTCTGGGGTTTGTCTTTCATGACTGACATTTTTTAAGTGTATAGGCCTGTTACTTTATTTGTTTTTTATTTTTATTTATGTTTATTTATATTTAATTTTGGCTGCATTTGGGTCTTCACTGCTGCACGCGGGCTTTCTCTAGTTGCAGCGAGCAGGGCTACTCTTCCTTGTGTTGCTCGGGCTTCTCATGTTGTGGAGTACGGATTCTATGCATGCGGGCTCAGTAGTTGTGACTCACCGGCTCTAGAGCACTGGCTCAGTAGTTGTGGCGCAGGGGCTTAGTTGCTCTGCGGCATGTGGGATCTTCCCGGACCAGGGCTTGAACCCTTGTCCCCTGCATTGGCAGGCGGGTTCTTAACCACTTCGCCACCAGGGAAGCCCCAGGTCTGTTACTTTATATTTTACAATTTTACATTGGTTGATTTCTTATAAATGCTATGTTTAAGAATTTTTCTTCTGTTTTATTTTTCTTAGAACTTTGAGACTAGCTGCAAAAAATGCTATGGCATCTGTTTATCTAATGATTGTCCCTAATGTGATGTAGATATTTTGTTCTTAATTGTGATGACTCTTTGAGTCACAGTTTCTTTACCGATAAAATGGAAGTGTTCTTCCAACCTTAGAGGAACATGTGCATGCAGGTTTTTTTGGTTTTGGTGTAATAATGGAGACTAACATTAAAATCTACCATGCTTCCCTCCCCCAGAGTAAGCTGCACATGGAGGGCTTCCGGAGCCTGAAGGAGGGTGAGGCCGTAGAGTTCACCTTTAAGAAGTCTGCCAAGGGCCTGGAATCTATCCGAGTCACCGGCCCTGGTGGGGTGTTCTGTATTGGGAGTGAGAGGCGGCCCAAAGGGAAGAACATGCAGAAACGCAGATCAAAGGGAGACAGGTATGGATTGCAAGGCAGCTTGTGTGTGGGTTGGGAGGGACATGCTGAGGATGAGGAAAACTCTCCTCATTTTGCCCCTTTCTTGGACCAGATTGCCAAAGGTAAAAGGAAGCCTGCGGCCCCTGGATGTGGGAGGTGAAGAGAGGGCAGTATGTGAGGAGGGTACTTCATGACCTAGCTCTTCTACTTGACAAGTAATTACGTTCTGTTAGCACTAGCCTCGATTGCTAAACGGATTTCATGATACTAACCTCACATGATTATTTTAGAACTAAAAGAGACCATGGATGTGAAAGTGTATGTGGTCAGGACAAGATGGTGTATCTGTACCTGTTGCTTCTTCACCACGTCTCCAAATGGCTGGTTTCTTCCATCTTAGTTCTGTGCTCAAACAGATCACATAGTCTGGCTCCTTTAATTTCTATATTTTTATTGAATGACAGGTACTCTTTTTAAAGGTATGGTAGTTCCCAATTGGGGTCCAGAATTTCTGTTCTTGGTATTTTCAAGTTGACATGAATCGGAAGGTATCATCTAGACAATTACGTATCTGGAAAGGACTCAGAGTCATCTAGTCATATTCCTCCTTTTGTAAGTGGGGAAATTGGTCTCTGGGAAGGGAAGTGGGTATAGTAACAACTTGAACCAGAGCCCAGGTGTCCTCTTTCAGAGGAAGGCTTGTAGTCTCTTCTCACTCCTTTCTCTCAACTTTACCATGTTGCTTGGTGCTAGGTGCTACAACTGTGGAGGTCTAGACCATCATGCCAAGGAATGCAAACTGCCACCCCAGCCCAAGAAGTGCCACTTCTGCCAGAGCATCAACCACATGGTGGCCTCGTGTCCACTGAAGGCCCAGCAAGCTCCCAGCTCCCAGGGAAAGCCAGCCTGCTTTCGGGAGGAGGAAGAAGAGATCCATAGCCCTGCCATGCTCCCCGAGGCCCAGAATTGAGCCACAGTGGGTGGGGGCTATCCGTGTGTGATCAGGAAGTTTTGAGGAACAGGCATCCATCGGCAGAGTGGAGAAAGTGGGGACAGGGTGGGTAGGGGGCAGCTGGCACTGCCATATATCTCAGACCGGGGGCCAAAGCGTCACCCCCTCTTTCCTCTTGGTGGGGGGGAAGGGGTGAGGCAAAGAAACTCCAATCATGCTCTATCCAAATGCACGTGAGGGCTTTGGGGGGTAACCCTTCCTGCATGCTTTATCTGAGTCTCCACCCCCAGAATCTCCAGCTTCTGAAAGTGGCCTGGATAGGGAAGTTGTTTTACTCTTCAAGAAGGATATGGAATAATATTTCCCGTGCCAGAGTGAAAAGATTAAGCATGAGACCAGATTGATGGACCCAACCCACAAGCCACTACATTCTGTGGGAGGAAATATCTCAGGGGTAAGGCAGGGTTTTCCACATCTTGTCTGCTCATAACCTCCTCCTGGGAGAGAGTGCTGAGAGAACTGTCCCAAGCAGTGGGTTGTGATGACAGGCAAAAGGGGGGTTGAGGGAACAGCTGCAGACCTGCTGCTTCTAAGCTCACTCCCACCCCATTCTGGGCCAATACAATTTTATTTATTTGCTCCCTTGGATGACTGTACCTTGGGTCCCACTTTCTTCAGGATGCCAACTGCACTAGCTGTGTGCGAATGACGTATCTTGTGCATTTTAACTTTTTTTTTCATAATATAAATATTCTGGTTTTGTATTTTTGTGTATTTTAATCTAAGGCCCTCATTCCTGCACTGTGTTCTCAGGTACGTGAGCAATCTCAGGGATAAGTCGGCGACAGCTCCGGGTCTGCACAGCAGGAATACTTTTTGTTGCTCTATCACCAGAGAGAACAACTATTTGGAGCGTATAGCCTATTGAACTACCTCATTTTTGCCAATTAGAGCTGGCTTTTCTGCCACAGTGTCCTCTTGAAACCCCTCCATCTTCAATGTTTCATGGGAGACTAGGTTTTAACTGGGTTGCCCCATGGCTTGGTCTCCTTCTACTGAAAGATTGGAAATTGGTCTGAACAGGAAAAGGTGGTACAGAGAGGTTAGGAGAGGCTGGGCCAGGTAAAAGGTGCAGAGAGGGGAAGCCAAGATTAGGCAGAGGTCATCTGTATGTGTGATAAAGGATTCCTGTTCCAGACCTGTAATCCCAGGGCATAGGACTCGTTTTACATACCAGGTCCATCCTTCAGTGGATTGGGCTAGGCCTAACATACACAACAGGGCGTATTGTATGTGTTTTTGTAAAAACTGTGAGTTGGTAAGGACAGGTTTTAAGAACGATGCCTCTGTACCCATCTTGAGCTGCCCAGGGATGGATATATGAAGCAAGGACAAGATCCTTAATCTTTAACAATTCTGGACTTTTCCTCCTTGGTTTCCAGAGAGACCATCAGTGATGGCTTCTTTGTGGTTCCCAGAGCCAGTGTCCTGCCCTGCTGCAGCAGTAATTAGTGTCATGGTAGCTAAAGGAGAAAAGGGGGTTTCGTTTACATGCTGTGAGATCACTGCAAACCTACCTCACTGTGTTGTAACGGGGCAAATGCAATAGAACGCATTGGGTGATGTGTGTCTGATCCTGGGTTCTTGTCTCCCCCAATTGCTGCCCCCCTCTAGTTATTGTATTTGTCTGGACTTCGTAGGACTTCACAAGTAGCTGATTTGGTGATTGCTAGGTGGCCTAGTTTGTGTAAATATAATGTGTTGGTCTTCTCCATGTTCTTTTGGGGTTTTATTGTTTACAAACTTCTTTTTATATTGAGAAAAATAGCCAAAGCATCTTTGACAAAAGGTCTGCACCAGCCAAAAAGATCTGAAACATAAACTTGGGGGCCCCTCTTCTTGAAGTGGGAGGTCTTGAACTACACTTTCTTTTGTGTTCCCCTTCCCCTGTTTCCTATTTCGAACAAGATTTTCTGTCCTAAACACTGTATTCCTACCCCCTCTTCTTTCCCCCTTCGTGCCCTCCCCAAAAATAGTCCATACACCTATACGTTTAATTTGTGGGGTGTCTGTGATTAAATGATTTGTGCAAAAATCCTGAGAAATCCTAAGAACTCACCATCCCTTGTTCATCCCTTGTTCTCAATCTCCTGAGTCATGACCATTCCTTGATTTGATTCATTCCAAAGAGACTGCTGTCTTTGCATGGATTAAAACCTACTTTAATCTCTAATCCTAGGGTTAGAGGAGCAACGAGGGGGCCTTCCATGTAGAAAGTGGGGTTGGGAGACCACGAAAGGAAAGATGAATGTATAGTCAAGTCACTCAGGAACTTTTATGCAGGTGCAAGAAACTTATGTCAAAGTGGCCACAAAATTGTTTAATAGGAGACGGACGAATGTAACTCCATGTTTACTGCTAGAAACCAAAGCTTTGTGTGAAATCTTGAATTTATGGGGAGGGAGGGAGGGTAGAAAAGCATGTACCTGTTCTTCATCCCTTCCCCTCATTACTGAACTGCAGGAGACTGAGCCCCCTTGGGCTTTGGCGACCCCATCTGGGCAGTGTTTATTTGTTGGTTGATTTTGCTGTGCCAGGTACTTCCTTTCCCATTTGCTATCATTTTGTAACACATGCTGACCCCTTTCCCTTCCCCTTCTTTTCCTTGGGAAAATACAATGAATAAAGACTTATTGGTACCGAAACTGTCATCTCCTTGGTTGATATTTAAGGTGCTTTCTTCCTACCATTATTTCCACTTTCTTGGATTGGGACTCAAGTCACAAGAACCATTAAGTTTTCTGTTCAGCCATTTTGTTAGGAGTGAATCTTGAAAGTTCAGTCTTTTTAGCACCTCATTACAGTGGATTTTTGTTTCTAGTTAAGGCCTCTTGTCCTTTCCTTGGAAGCTGCCACATTCAAGAGGGGATTAAGGGCTTGGCATGCATAAGAATGGGGTTGCCTGTGCCACTGACTGGGATGAAAGGATGGGGCCATGGCTTGGGGCATGAGACCCTAATAATACTTTGTCCCTTGCTCCTCAAAGCCCTTTACAAATCTTAATTAATTAACCCCCTGCAGCAACCCAGGGATGGAAATACAGGGGAAACTGTTGAAATTGAGGCCAGAGGAGATACACTGACCAGCTATAAACACATGTTAACAAGTTCACTAGCCTGATGAACACTGTATTTTTAAACATCTAGCTCCCCCTAAGGGAAGGAGGGGTTAGAAAAGAAAGACTTGATTGGAGGCATACCAACTATCACCCAAAGTGCACCGAAACGTTAACAGAACAAGGGTAAGAAGTTTCATATATCCCTCTAGGGACTTCCTACCAAAAGTCAAAGCTGACCTTGGAAGATGTTAAAAGTAGCAAGCTACTACTGGACTTCACTAAATGCTTTTCCTGCAAAATTGAAGAAATCAGCTAGGCAGAAACTTACTAACCTACATGCAAAGCAGGAAGGATGGAAAAGCTTAAGAGACCATTCATGGGTGGGTTACTCATCTCTGGAGGGCATTCTTTGATCATTTCACTCTGTTAAAAATAACCCTTTCATCAGCAAGAGTGGAAGACAAAAGTAATGAATCGGGAGTCATGACTACAGCATCTCTTGCCTTGTTTCCTTGACACTGCAACCCAAAGTAAAACTACAAGAAGGTTCTCTGAAAATGGTAAAGTTTTTTTTTTTTCCCCTTCTCTCATTTTAAGAAAACTAAACTCCCAATATCTTTTGTGAGTTAGTGCCTCAAATTCCTGCAGCCCTTTTCTTTAAAGGTTTGGTACAGAATGAATGCCCTTGATTTTTCTGTCAGGGTTAGTTGATGGCCTTTCTTAAACTTTAGAAGTCATTCTTAGAGTTCTTTCTGGCCTTAACCCTTTTTTGAGTTCTTTGGGTAGGTCCTGAGAATGCAAATCCCAAAATCTTGAGTGCCTTAAATCAGCACAAAATGGACTGATATTAAGTGCCCTCCCTGTGAGGCTAACTACGGCTAGGAACTTCGCAAACGATTAAATTCACTAAATAAGACAAAACAGTATAAAAACAGGATATTTAAGACTTCTACCAAAAAAACAAACAAACAAAAAACACTTGTACCAGAGCTCTAAAGCCAGTGTAGCGGCCTTCCAGCTAGCAGGACGCCGCCTTACCCCTTTTCTCAAAAGTCCAAACTGCCACCAGTGGCTAAGAAGTCCCAGCATTTCTGAGGTGGGGTTCCCCTAATTCTTGCCCCGTAACCTAGCCCGCCTGTCTACAGACTTCTCGGCTCTCCCAGGTGGTCTGAACCCCGCCTTCCCCAGCCGGGTCCCTCGCACGTGGCCCGGAGCCGGGTAGCCCGCGCGGTTATCCCCTTCACCCCAACGTGCCCCGCCCCTGGAGTGCGCACAGCCGAGAACCCTAGCTTAGCTCAGCTCCGCTCCTCCTCCGAGCGCGCAGGCGCAGGCCAGGGCCCCGCCCATTCGGTGACGGCAGAAGCGTGTCCCAGCGCCCAACGATGACGTGTTCTTCCAGCGCCACGTCGTGAGGAAGTGTCGGTCCCCTCGAGCTGTTGAAAGGTGCCGGCGGAGCCTGTCAAGGTGCTGGATTCAGGGGGTGGATTAGAGGAGAAGAGGAGAGAGATGACTGAGCGGGAGGCAGCTGTGGGAGAGACAAAGGGGATAGTGGAAGATACAAGTGAAGGAGTAAATAATTGGGAAATCTCTGGGGTAGGAGGTAACGGGTGCAACAACTGAAGGGGTTAGTGACCCGGAGCCCCGAGAGTGGGAAACAGCCTGGTGGAAGATGGAGAAGGAAGAAGGGGGAAGGATCAGGATGTAGGCACTACGATGTGACAAGAAGCAGACTTACATGTTCAGAAAAAGGCAGTGCAGACTCTGAGAAAAAAGGGGATGGGAGCAAGGTCCACCAAGCCCATAGAACCAAGGAAAGGCCTCTGCGCCCAAAGGTCCTATTGGCTTATAAATTCTGGGTAGTGAAAGACTAGAGGCTTAGGACAGTGTCTTTTTTTTTTTTTTTTTGGCTCTGCCTGGTCCTAGTTGTGGCACACGGGATCTTAAGTTGCAGCATGCGAACTCTTAGTTGTGGCCTGTGGGATCTAGTTCCCTAACCAGAGATCAAACCCGGGCCCCATGGATTGGGAGCGCAGAGTCTTAGCCACTGGACCACCAGGGAAGTCCAGGGCCAGTGTTTTTGGATTCTAATGCTGGCTGATTCTACCGTTTTGGTGAATCCCTGCAAGTCAGCCATAGTTGTTTGCAGGTGTGGTGACTTCTAATTCTCTGTCTTGTTTATACAAGGTTACCTGGTTGGTGACTAATTGTTCTGTGCTTCTTCTGCTGAGGCAAGAACTATGTCATGGATCAAGGAAGGAGAGCTGTCGTTTTGGGAGCGGTTCTGTGCCAACATCATAAAGGTGAGCAGTGGCCCAATGCACCAGTTGGCCTTTTGGTTCGTTGGGTAATCTTATATTAAAACCTGTTATAAAAACTGGGTAACCCATGATATTTATGGATTTGTAGTAGAATTTAGCAATGGTATCAAAGAGCCTTAGAATTGCAGGTAACTTCCAGATCTACATTTCTGGCAGATTATTGTCCTAACTCTCACATTTTCAGGAAGCCTGAGACCTCCCAATATCATTGGGCAGCATAGACTGTTAGATCTTCCTGAAATTTGTTTCCCTAGAACTTTGATCTATTATTCCTAGTATTGTCCTCTGGGCTTTATTTTGTTTTGTTTTGTTTTTTTAATTTATTTTTGGCTGCATTGGGTCTTCATTGTTGTGTGCGGGCTTTCTCTAGTTGCGGTGAGCGGGGGCTACTCTTTGTTGCAGTGCATGGGCTTCTCACTGTGCTGGCTTCTCTTTGTTGTGGAACACGGGCTCTAGGCGTCCTGGCTTCAGTAGCTGTGGCATGCGGGCTCAGTAGTTGTGGCTTGCGGGCTCTAGAGCTCAGGCTCAGTAGTTGTGGCCCACGGGCTTAGTCGCTCCGCGGCATGTGGGATCTTCCCAGACCAGGGATCGAACCCTGTCCCTTGCATTGGCAGGCAGATTCTTAACCACTGCGCCACCAGGGAAGTCCCTGACCTCTGGGTTTAGATAAAATAACTAATCTTTCTTTGATGTGACAGTAGAGCATAATGGTTAAGAGGGTTCTGGAGGCAAACATGAATGAAAGTTCTATTCTATCGTTTATTAACCATGTGACTTTATATGGTGATTTTGAGGATTAAATGAAACTACATAGAAAACACTCAGCACTGTGTCTAGCAGCTTTTAATTACTATTATTGGGGCTGTCTTTCAATCATTTCAAGACTACAATCACTCTGTTTCCTACACTCCACTCCCTAGATCTTCCCTCAGCTTTTTCTCTAGGAATCACAGCAATGTTATATCCTCCTCACATGAAAGGTTTGATATTGGAGCCAGTCAGCTTGGTTTTATTTTTCAGCCACAGGCTGTCAAGCAGCAAGTAGCAGTGAATTTATGAGTAAGTAAGCCTCGTACCCACACGTACACTCACACACAAATGCCAGGTGATCTCAGGCAGTCCAGGAAATAGAAAAGCATCTCCTCAAGGAAACACTGCGGTCACGTGTTGGGAAGAACAAGCTGCATGACTTTACCGGAATTTTTTTTTTTTATGGCTATATATGGGGGACAAAAGTAGAAAATGTTGGGAGATGCAGGGGAAGTGGTCTATGAAGAGCCCCTCCAGTGAGGGAAAATAGCCCAAGGAGTGAATTTTTGCTATGATAGACAACAAAAGTCTGCTCTAGGCCAGGTAAGAAGTTTTGTTTGCCCCCAAAATGTCTTTTTTGTTTGTTTTCAAATGGCTCCTGACATTTAAATTTTTATAAAAATCTTGATTAGCTTCTCTTGTAAAATAAGAAGATCCAACAATATGAGGCCCCCATTCCTGTGTGACAGGACTCGGATACAACTGAGAAGTGTATGCCTCTTGTGTGGAGGATGCCCTTTACATTTGGCCATACCCATCAATATCCTTCCTGTGCCTTCCAGTTGAAGGCTAACGAAACCCAGGTGGTGGTTAAAGGCATATGGTTAGGAGATGAACTCTGAAAGCACATAGACCTAAATTTGAATCCCCACTTTGTCTCTTCTTGGCTGTGTGACTTATGCAAGTCACTTGACCTCTCGGAGCCTCAGTTGTTTCACCTATAAAATGAAGATAACACTATTTACTTCATATGTTTGTATGATAAAAAATTAAGATGAAATGTGAAAAGCTCAGCATAGTACTTGGCATGTAGTAAGGGCTCAATAAACATATAAATAAAAATGAATAAAAGTGCTTAATGCTTATGTATTGAGCTAAAAGTACAGAATACCCAGTTCCCTTCCTCAGGGCTTTTATCATATAGCTCAAGCCTGTCAGCTTGGCATATTGTCTCCCTTTATCTCTGAGGAGTATGTGATGTGTTCATTTCTCTTCTTCCTTCACAGGCAGGCCCAATGCCCAAACACATTGCGTTTATAATGGATGGGAACCGTCGCTATGCCAAGAAGTGCCAAGTGGAGAGGCAAGAGGGTCACTCACAGGGCTTCAACAAACTGGCTGAGGTGGGTACACGTTGCAGAACCCAAGGTGAATGGTCTGTGGAGAATTGGATTATAGCTAGAAAACCAGGCCCTGAGTTTGCTGTGGTTTGAGAGTGCTTTTTTATAGCTGTTTGTCTGTTTTATTGCTTGCTTGCTAGCCATAGATCTCATATCAACATTAACAGAAAATGAAGTCATCCAGTGAATCATCGCAAAATATTAGAAATAAGAACAAAATTGTCTCCTCTTACCACTTTAATCAACAATTTATGTTTTTCTGTGCCTCATCCCAATCCTTGTAATATGATCAACATGACTTAACATTTATAAAATTACATCTGTAGCTTTGATAACCTTATTTTTTTCTTGACATTTTGGCAAGTATTTTTCTAGGTTGAGCTACGGCTTTCTACCTATATGTTTTAATGGCTGTGGAACATTTTTCCTGAGGATCAGACATAGTTTGTTTAGCTGCTCCACTATTATTGGACATTATAAATGGTACTAGTTTAGAATAAATTCTTAGAAGTGACATTTCCAGAGCAAAGGTAGAGGGTGACTACCCATCCTGAGGTTGAGGTG